AACAGATCTGTGTTGGAAGAAGTGCAGCCAGAGTGCTCCTTGGAGGCCAGGATGGCCAAACTTTGTCTCTCATTAGGAGGGACCAGTTGCTGGAAAAGGAGATCATGTTTGGTAAGGTGGAGGGTCAGAGAAAAAGAGGAAGACCCCCAGTGAGATGGATTGGCAAAGCGGCTGCATCAGTACCCTCAAGCGTGTCAATAATTGCGAGGTTGGCTCAAGACCAGACAGTGTTTTGTTCTGTTGTACATAGGGTTGCTATGTATGAGTCAGTACTGACTCGATGGCACCTAACAATAACAACATATGAAAAAGCTGAAAGGTCATTTAAAAGACAGGAAACAAAGAGAAGACTAAAATGAATGCCAGAAGATACTCAGAACTTGCTCTTGAATACAGAGTATCTAAAGGGAAAGAAAGAAATGATGAAGTAAAACAGTTGAGTAGAAGAGTTCACAGGGCATGTACAAAGACCCGGACTTAGAAAACTGAAGGAGAAGAACACGCTCAGCATTTCTCAAGCTGAAAGAACTGAAGAAAAACTGGACTTGAAATGTTGAAGACTTCTATGTTCAAAATATTAAATGATACAAGAAGCATCAAAAGACAATGGAGGAACTACATAAATTCAAACTAATACCAAAAAGGATTAGTTGACATTTACCCATTTCAAGAGGTTGTTGTTGTTAAGTGCTGTTGAGTCGATTCTGACCCATAGAGACCCTGTATAGGATTTCCAAGCAGCAGCTGGTGAGCTTGAACCACCGACCTTGCAGTTCAGATGACTTTGCAGTCTGACGCATTAGCCCACAGCGCCACACCTCTTCTCAAGAGATAGGATCTGAGTAAGAACTCGAGGTGTTGAAGAAAGAACTGCACGCTGCAATGAAAGAGTTGGCGAAAACCAGAGCTCCAGTAATGGATGGGATACCAAGTGAAATATCTCAGGAAATGAGTGGGATGCTGGAAGCGGTCCTTAGTCTACATCACGAAATTTGAAGGTCAGCTACATAGCCAGCTTACTAGAAGAAATCCATACTTGTGCCTGTTCCAAAGAAATGTGATTCAATAGAATGTGGAAATTGTTTAACAGTGTATTAATATTGGTTGGTTGGTGATGTGCCGTGGAGTCGGTTCCGACTCATGGCGACCCTATACAGGGTACAGGGTTTCTGAGGCTGTAAATCTTTATGGGAGCAGAACGCCTCATCTTTCTCCCGCAGAATAGCTGGTAGGTTCGAACTGCTGATCTTGAGGTTCGCAGCCTGATTCGTAACCACTATGCTACCAGAGCTCCTTATATTAATATTACACACAAGTAAAAAAATACAAAACAAAACAAAAACAGTTGCCGCACTATATCTACAGGGAACTGCCCGAAATTCAAGCTGGTATCAGAAGTCCTGAAAGAGGGATATTATTGATTACGCTAGATAGGTCTTGCTGATAGCAGTGAACACTGGGAAGATGTTTACCTATGTTTTATTGACTGTGCAAAAACACTCAGCTGTGTGGATCATAACAAATTATGGATAAGATTGTGAAGAATGGGAATTCCAGAACACACAGTTGTACACATATGGAAACTGTCCACAGTCTAAGAGGTAATCATTTGAACAGAGCATGGGAATACAGTATGGGTTGAAATCAGGAAAGAAGTGTGCCAGGGTCCAATTATTTCACTATACTTATTTAATCTGTATGCTGAGCAAATAATCAGAGAACTTGAACTGTATGAAGAAGAATTTGGCATTCGAATTGGAGGAAGACTTGTTAGCAACCAGTGGTGGTCAGATAACACAACCTTGCTTGCTGAAAGTGAAAAGGATTTGAAGCACTTACTGATAAAGATTGAAAACAGTGGTTAGTATGGATTTGATCTCAAAACAAAGTCCTCACAAGTCGATCAATAAGCAACATCAAGATAAACAGAGAAAAGATTGAAATTGTCAAGGATTTTCTTTTACTTGGATTTGCATTCAACTCCCATATAAACAGCAGTTGAGAAATCCAGGGATATCCTACATTGAGTAAATCTGCTGCAAAAGGCCTCTTTAAAGTATTAAAGAGCAAAGATGTTGCTTTGAAGACTCAGGTGTGCCTGACCCAAGCCATGGTATTTTCAATTGTCCCATAAACATGCAAAAGCTAGACAGTAAGTGTAAGACTGAAGGAGAATTGATACCCGTGAGTTATGGTGTTGGTGAAGAATATTAATTATACCATGGACTGCCAGAAGATTGAGTAAATCTGTGTCCAAAGTACAGCCAGAATGATTCTAGAAATGAGGCTGATGAGACTCATGTTCTTTGGACATGTGATCAGTAGGGACCAGTCCCCGGAGGATAAAGTTATGCTTGGCAAAGTGACAGCAAAAGGGTCAGCAGAGAGAGAGGAAGGTCCTTAATGAGATGCAGTGGCCACAGCAGTGTGCTCACACACAGCACAAACTCGGTGGCTGGCGCAGGACTAGCTAGTGTTTTGTTGCTGTGAGTTGGAGTGTACTTGATGTCCCTTAACCCTAACAAGAATAGCAAACTTAGTGGTCATTGCTGCTCCCTTTATGCCATTTGGCTTATAAAAGATTTCAGAGGAATTCCATACTTGTGGATATTTTAACCAGTTTTGAGCGTATAATCATTGTAAGTGCCATCAAATTGGTTCTGATCCACAGCGACCCTGTACAGGGTTTCCAAGGAGCGACTGGTGGGTTGGAACTGACAACCTTGGGGTTAGCAGCCCAGTGATTTTCCTGTGTGGAATTGGGAGGCATTAATTGTATTCACCATATTAATTGTGAGGCATTAATTGTATTCACCATATTAATTGTGAGGCATTAATTGTATTCACCATATTAATTGTGAGGCATTGTATTCACCATATTGTGCAACCCCCACCACTACATTTCCTAATATCCTTGATGTCCCGACCCGGAGACTCGGAGTGCCTCATGTCTACGCGTTTGCCCCTTGTCAGTGTTGCCTGGAATATCGACGCACAGTGCTGCCATTTCATAAGAACCTTTTCTTTTCCAGGTTGTCCTCGCAGGGGCCTTTTATCCAAATTACTTCACTTTTGGGCAGCCAGATGAAGAAATGGCAGTCAGGGAGCTGGCTGGAAATGACCCGAAGACGACGGTTGTGGTAGGTAGAAGAGCCGGGGGTGGCATGGGTGGGGTTGGCAGGTGGGCTGCCATTTCCGTATTGCTGCTTGAAAGCAGTTGACTTCTCCAGTTGTCTCTGGGTTAGTAGCAGTCAATGATTCTTCTTCCCTAAGTGAAGAGTATGACTTGTTTGAGCTCTTCAGGTACACCTACGTGAGCTTCATTCACCTGCTGCCTTTTTAGCAGACGTGGTCTGTAAAGAAAGCCTTGTTCATGACTGACGCCGACTTGGTCCATGCCCTTTTGAAGGATGTGGGGCACTTTTCCATAAGTCTCGAAACATCTCGTTAAGCAATGACTTCAGTTCACACAAAGTAAAGTGTTAGTGGCTGATCCTTAGTGCCCTGGCTTAGCCCCATGACCCCAGGGGCTGTTCAGATTGGACGCCCCACAGGAGCAGTCGTGGGCAGAGTGCTGCCCTCTCATGGGGAGCCAGCCCTTCAGTGCTGACGCTCCTATTGCTCCTTCCATGGAAATGCCGTGTTTCTGAAGGATGGATTTAGTCCATTTGATTATCTGACAGTTTAAAAAAAGTTATCATAAATCTTAATTTTTCAGTAGTAATGTAAGGACCAAACTGATTTTACCTACCTAGAAACTGCTTGACTAAACTCTAGTCAGGCTCAGGAAAGCATTTTAAATAGACAAGGCGTCAGTTATTAGTTCCCTCCAGAGGCAAGGTCAATCTCCATTCTGTACATTAGCCTGAACACGTACTCTAGCTCCAAGAATATGATATATGTATAAATAGCCAGGCAGCTCAAGGCCAGAGGCCAGATGTTTTCCTTTACCCTAGCCTAAGAACAAAGACCACCAGTCCTGACCAATTAAACTGTAACATCTCATAGTTTGCCAATTGTTAACCAATCCAAAGATTGTAAAGCTGAGAAACCTGAGCTGTTTGAAAATTCTATAAAAACCCTGCAGACAATGAATTCGGGGCTCTTTCCCTATTCCGAAATGTCGGATAAGGTTAGAGACCTGGCTCGAGCTTGATTAAACAACCCTTATGTATTTGCATCGGTACACGGCTCCTGGGTGGTCTTTGGGGACCCTGAATTCTGGGCATAACAGTAGATGGTTGGATGATTTTTAACAGAGGAAGAAATAACCTTTACTTAACATACATTTGTTGTGAAAACTCAGTTGTGACCATTTGAGGTCCTTAGCCACGAGCACAGGATCACAGTGGTGTGCGGGATGCGGTCAGCTGGCTGCTGCGTTGTCTTTTGCAGTTGAAGCACATCCCTCCCTATGGATTTCTCTACTACAAACAGCTGCAGTCTCTCTTTCGACAGTGCGGTCAAGTCAAGTCCATCGTGTTTGACGGTGCAAAGTAAGTCTGGCTTTGTGATCCTGGTAATTTGCATGAAAGACCCAGAATGTTTCAGCTGTTTGCAGGCACCAGTTCCTGAAACGGGCACACGTGGCAATGAGCCTCTTGTTGTCTGCTGCAGAAAGCCCTTGAAATGCACTTGGCTTTGTCTTGGTGTCAGGACTGTTCGACTAAGTGACCTCTTGAAGCCGCTCACCTCTGCTGTCCGTGGCCTGGACTGGGCAGGCTCCCTGGCCGCTAGTTTCAGTCTTGCTTTCTGGCAGTAAATAGTGTTGTGTGGTACAAGACACCCTGGAGAGAATGTCTGTTCTGGCTGTTCTGAGCATGCTTGTTCTACAGGGCCTTCTATGATTGGCCCTTCTTCATCTGCAGATAAGGAACCAATGGCACCACTTTGCCGTAACACTTTCCCAGAGGGAACGGTTATACTCAGAAATGATCATGTGTAATGTTTTATAGATTTTTAAAGATAGAAAAAAAAAAAAAAACCACAGTGTTTTGTACATTTTTATTTGATGTTCAAAACGATGTAAATCTGGGAAATAACTTTTTGTTGATTAATGTCTACTTAAGTCACATTGTTATTGTTGGTAGGTGCCATTGAGTTGGTACCGATTCATAGCAACTCTATGCACACCAGAGGAAACACTCCTGGTCCTGGGCCAACCTCACTATTGTTGCCATGCTTGAGCCCATTGACACTCCTGCTTTGCCAATCCATCTCTCTGGCGGGGGGTGGGGGGTCTTCCTCTTTTTCTCTGACCCTCCATCTTACCAAACATGACATCCTTCTCCTGACAATATGTGCTCCCTGCTGACAATATGTCCAAAGTATGAGACATGAAGTTTGCCCATCTTGTGCTCTAAGGAGCACTCTGGCTGCACTTCTTCCAAAACGGATCTATTGGTTCTTTTGGCAGCCCATGGTACTTTAAATATTCTCCTCCAACACCATAACTCAAAAGCATCAATTCTTCTACGGACTTCCTTATTCATTGTCCAGCTTTCGCATGCATATGAGGTTAT